CGGGCAGTGTTCAAGGCCAGGTTGGACACAGGGGCTTGGAGCAACCTGCTCTAGGGGTATGTTTCTCTGCCTGTGGCAAGGGTTGGAGCTGCAGGAGCTTTAAGGTCCCTTCAAACCAAACCATTCCATGATTCCATGATTCTATAGTCTGGTTTAACCTGGATGCTTCCCTCCATCCTTCTGCTGGGTCTCCTGTGGGGCAGAAGCTGTTGGCCTCAGAGCAGACTTTGGGACTCAATTGATGTCAGGAGACCTTTCCCTGCCCCTTTTAGTTCCTAAGCCCTTTCCTGGTTCATGTTGACCACCTCAGGGTATTCCTGAACCAGTCTACCCCCGACCAACCACTGCCTCCAAGCACGCGCCTGGCTTCCCTGTCCTCCAAGGTGGTCCCATGTGGTGCCCATGGCTGGGGGGCCCACAGCCTGAAGTGCTTTTGGAGCATCCCATAAGGGACAGTGTGGGAGAGGGAGGGGTGAACCTCACCTCTCCAGCTAATTCCAAGCTAGTTCCTCAGTGTCCATGATGCTGGAGCCAGCCCTGAAGCTTTTGCTGCTGTCTGGATTGGCCGGTGATCCATGGGTTGCTTTTAATGCATCTCCAAAGGTAACTGAGACCATGGGAAGAGCAAGACCTCAACCCACCTCTGCACAGAAGCAGAATATTGTCGATGATCTGTACATTTAGAGCCAAAAACCTCTTGGTTTGGTTTGACCTCTTGCTCAGGAGACCTTGAGTCACATCCCTGGTCAACCGCAGACTCGCTCCGCGATCTGGGTGAGTCATTCCGTTTCTCCCAAGCTCCATTCCCTGCTGGTAAGTGCTGGAGACTGTGGAATGTCACAACGCTGCCAGCAAAGGCGAGTCACTACTTGGACGGGGTTTGGGCAATGGTTGAGTGTTCCAGCGAGTTGTAAAGGGACCTGAGATGGCGTTGACTGAAGAGCCATCTCCTTCCCGCAGAGCCACCCCAATCCTGCTGCCACTGTGTAAACTCACCTCCAGCAAACGACTCCTGGCAGCAGGTCAGGCTGATGAGGAGACAAAAGGCTTCTGGATGGCTACAAACTAAACCAGACACAAACCCCCGCTTTGCTTTTTGTTCCTATAGTTGCACCAGCAATTCAGGGGAACTCTGCTGGGCTGAATGGGAATGTACCAGGATTCTGCCTTGTGGTGGAAGAGGGAAAACATGACCTGAAATAGGTTTGGTTTCATCTGATCATGATTTAAAAGCATCTTCTAAAGCACAATGAAAGCACTTGGATGGCAAGTGGCTTATGGGAAGCATGGGAATTACTGCTTGACTTTGCTCTTTTTTCCCCCAGATTCTCCATTTCTGTGGTTCAAGTTCAGCGCACGTTGATTAACATCATGGCTGCTAAAATGAGCCTTTTCCACTATGTTTTCAAGGCTTGAGCAGCTTCTCCTGTGCTCCTGACTATTTGCATAGAACCATGAAATGGGTTGAGTTCAAGGGACCTTAAAGCTCCTGCAGCACCAACCCCTGCCCCGGGCAGGGACAC